AAAAGAGGGAGAAAAAGGACAGTAATGAGCATAAGTCACCGATTTCTGCCGTAAAGTTGGTTACATTTCCAGAAGTGACAGTTTATCTTAGAGAATCTCCAAAGGCTTTATTTACCTCTCACCCTTGGGTGACGAGCCAGTGACTCCAGCCACAACTCCTACATGCCTGGACCCAGAATTTTTGCAAAACACACTTTGTTCATCTCTAGAAATGCGTTCTCTTGTTTTCGATTCACTCGCTGGTGTCTGTTGTTCCTTCTAGATCTGCACAGGTCTTCAGAGCTATAAAGTCAGCTTTGGCATTTCCTTAAAATTCAGAAGCGCTCACCAGCTGTGCCTCCTCAGACTGACCCTCATGGCATGACGTCAGCGGCACCCAGCAGCCCTGGGGTCTGTCCATGGGCACCCTTCATGCAGAAGGTCAGCTCAGGGACTCGGGAGGCTTCTGGTATCCAGCCCAGATTTGGAGTCCAAACAATTTTATGGGAGGATAAATAAAAAGTTGACTATGTGAAGGCAGCAATGAGCTAATTACAGAGGAGCCGGTTGTACGTAAGGCTACTGTAGGCTCCGTGTGCTTTTATGCGTACTTGGTCCATCCTGCAATGATGGGACAGCAAAAGCAAATGGAAGAAACTCTAGTTGGTAAATTGCTTATTCAGGTGTGCTGCATTTTTCCTGGTTCTTTCATGTATTCCCATTTCTTAGTCTGACAATGAATGTCTTTTTAAAAGGAAGAAACAGGCCCTTAAATTTTGTCATCCATATGTCCCCAAACCCGAAAACCACATGAAGGTTTACTAGCCAGCAAAGGATGGTCAAAAGGATGGCAGAGAACACAAGCACCGCAGATGTAAACGTTGTCCGTGTTGGGTTTTACCTCAACCCATGATACGGGCAAATAGCAAGGCTTAGAGGAACAGCCCCTCTCCCCTGCCCACTCTCCATCTGTGTTTCAGAGAAGGGATCCCTGCAAATGGCCACCTTATGACTGAGGCAAGACATACAGATGTCCCCTTGTTGGCCTGTGATAAGGTCACACTTGCTGTGCCCTCCAGTTGATAAATGAGGAACTGAATTGCTTGTCCCACCGATTGATCAGAAACAAAGTACTTGTAACCAAAGTCCCAGAACATTGCCCACACTCAGCCTGCGTCATCGTACTCTCCCCCTTTAAGGACTGCTCTGGGGGAATGAGCCGATCCCTTGAACAACATTCCGCCAGCCAGTGATGTCACCTGCTCTCCCGGGTTATTCTAGCCTTGTTACCCTCGGTGTTTAAGAAAGAAAATGCCCTTTCCCTACTTCTTTGAGAAGCTTGCAGATTTCGTGATCTGAGTGTTCTTGCTAGTGTAGTAGCCCCCCCTCCACACTGTTACAATAACCCTTTTCATTCTCTCTTTAAATAATTATTTGTGGGTTGGGTGAAGGTTTATCAGTTTTCTTTCAACAATTCATACACTTTTGTTTCATCTCATGCACTCCAATGTCCTCAATGCAACACGGCTCATCCCACCTCTCGCTGGGCTTCCTGCCTCTTTCCTCCTTTCCCTCATCCTTTGGACTCTGTCCTGGGGGAACTGTTCCCCGGCCAGCCTTGACCTCAAATGGCCGATTACTCTAAGGCACATGCATCTCACTGGCGTTATTGTACCAGTCTACTCTGGTTGAAAGCTGAGCCGTGAGGCCGAGTGTTGTTCCAGAGCTGAAGGGTCACCAGAAACCAGCGCTTCAAAGGTTGTACAGATCTCTCTCTATCTGGCCAGAAGGGCTAATCTCGTTTATGAATTTGAGTTACGAAAAGAGACCTACTCTTTTCTCTGACTCTATTCAGTACTTTTTAATTTTTCAATCATTTTATTGGGGGCTCGTACAACTCTTATCACAATCCATACATCCATCCATTGTGCAAGCACATTTGTTACCCTCATCATTCTCAAAACATTTGCTTTTTACTTGCGCCCTTGGTATCAGCTTCTCATTTTCCCTCTCCCTGCCCACTCCCCCCTCTCTCATGAACCCTCGATAATTTATCAATTATTACTATTTTGTCATATCTTACACTGTCCGACGTCTCCCTTCACCCACTTTTCTGCTGTGAGTCCCCAAGGGAGGAGGTTATATGAGGTCTTTGTAATCAGTTACCCCTTTCTATCCCACCTTCCTTCCACCCTCCTGGTATCGCCACCCTCACCACTGGACCTGAAGGAATCATCTGCCCTGGATTCCCTGTGTTTCCAGTTCCTGTCTCTACCAGTGTACATCCTCTGGTCTAGCCAGATTTGTAAGGTAGAATTGGGATCATGATTTTGGTGACGGGGAAGGAAGCATTTAAGAAATAGAGGAAAGTTGTATGTTTCATCATTGCTATACTGCACCCTGACTGGCTT